TTTAACATAAATTTCAACTTAAATGACACAACCAAACTGAATTTTAACTTACCAATTTTATGAATTACCACAGAATATTATTAATCCAGGAAGGAAACAAAGTGGAAATCTTGAGCAGTAGTTTTACTAAAATCAAAGACAAGGTTGTTTAAAAAATTTGTGCAAGATGGAGAGAGGCGTGACTATCTGAAACGGGTTCTCCCTACTAAGCACACCTGTAAGGATTAGTGACCGTCACCATTACGATCCACTACTTCTTCTATTCTTTTTGAAGCACAGACTATAGCGGGATATTCAGACAGCCAATGTAGCCCTATTTTTGACAATTTCTCCAAGACCTTCCCTGGGTTCTCATCGGTTCCCACCTACTTGAACTATGTCTACTTCCTTGATGCTGCTACAATCATTTGAAAAAGAGCAGACCTTTGCTTAATAATCTTATCAGTTATCAATATTTTCGATTCGGGGGTTTGAATTTCGAAACCAATAAACTAAGAATATCAAATAGTCTTCAGAACTGGCTTTGACTTACAACATCAAGATTGCAGCTTCAATTACCAATTTTAGTTCAAAAATCGATATCTTCAAAAAATTCCAACAAATTTTAATACCAAACAATTTAAAATCTACAATCTATAAGCAGATCCATTCCACAACTCACAAAACCCCCCAAAATTAGCCCCCTGCATAAACCCTAAAACCCAATTTGGCAAAATTTCGATGCAATTGCGGTTTGGGGATAAAATGTGAAAAGATAAAAACAGAACTCACGATTAAGTCGAGGCCAGGATGATCCGCGCCCCAGAAAATATCGTGATCGACGACCACGAAGTTGCCCGAAACGGTGTCGCCTTCGTAGAGCACATACTCGTACAAGCATTCGACATCGTTCACTGTCACCGATAGCGATGCGATCTTTCGGACGAAGCTCACGAGAAGAAGACCAATCAGCATCAAACCCTTCGCGCTTCCCTCCATTTTTTTGTCTTTTCAGTTTTGGGGTCTGAGAGATTCAAACTCGATGACGACAGCTTGAAGTTGAAGAAGAGGAAGACGACGGAGAAGAAGAAGCAGGGACGGTGGAAACGGAGATTGATACGTGGCGATTGACTATACGTCCTTGACACATCGCTCACTCGGGCCACGTAAGCAGCCGGTTCAACTTAGTATCATTGGGCCTACGGGATTTTCTTTGTGGGATTGGCCTTTGGTTGTTAGTTTTGGGCTTGTTAACATTCTGTATGTCGTCTGCATATACGACTCGAACTTGGGTTTGGCTAACTTGAATTTAGTCGAACTCAACCCAAGTTTGAGTCGAGTTTTGAATAAGTTTGAGTTGACTAGAGGTTACTCTATGGGTTGGGTTCCATCTTTCATTAGTATATTCAATAGCCAAGTATGCCTATGTAAGTCTTTTTGATCTCGAAATGTGAATTGTCGTGGCAATTTCATCAGTTTGTCTAGCTTTTTATTGCACAAGTATTTCTGATTAGTTGAAGATGGAAGAAAAGTTTCAAATCCATTTAGTTAAACTAGGCAGTCAAGGATTGGAGGTAAGCATGTTTTCATCTCACATCAATTCCTATGAAATCAACTATATTATACATATTTTTATTATCTACTTTTTCTGCATGTAGACAAAACACCCTGCTTTTTTTATTGGGAACTTTAACGAAAAGCTCCCGGTACTGTTCACTTTAACGAAAAACCACATTTTTACACTAAAAAGTCAATCCTGGTACTATTCACTTTACCCTTTATTTTGTCCTTATCATTAAAACTCAAAGTTTTCAAGCCATTTTCATTAGTTTTCCTTTTTTTATTATCATCTACTTTTTCTGCATGTAGAAAAAACCTTTCCAATTGTGATCAAGATAATACATATTTATATTTATTTATTATTTACACTAAAACAGGGTGTACCGTTGACCATTCTGTTTTTCATTACTTTGTAATGATAACAACCACCACTATTACATCTCACAATACATAAAGATTTGATTGTTTATTTAAAGTATTTGTTGGCTTTTAAAAATTTGTCCACATTGTGAGATTTTTCTTCCGTTAAATCAGACTTTTGTTGGGTGTGAGAGAATGTGAAAAGTTTGTCTCTTTGTATGATTTAAATGTTTTTTCTTGGTAGGCTTATATCAAACAATATTAACAAATAGACATTTGTCTTATTAATAGTGTTAGCACCCACATAATGACTTTGGATGTTATTAAATGGGATGGTAGCAATGGCGTAGCCATTCACAAGGTTAAGGTGGGCTGTAGCCCAAGGAGGTTTTCTGTAAGGATAGTATTATCCATGCATTTATTTTTACTTCTTACACACTTCTCTTAATTGTCGGTTGTTCAGATCGAATGAATTGAAAATTATCACTGACAAAATATTAATAAAGATGTGTTGGAAGTAAAAATGGGTTTGTGAATAGATCTATTCTTTTGTAAACTCATGCTTATAGCCTACTCAATTTCAATACATATTATTATTAATGTATATTTAGTAGAGGAGAGGTAGTAAATAATAGTTTTAACGGGGTGTGATATCCACACACCCCATTGTACTTCTCACACACCTTTTTAATTTTCGGCCGTCGGATCGGATGAATTGAAGAAGATCAACGGACAGAAATCATCAAGGGGTGTGTGAGAAGTTAAATGGGGTGTGTGGATAGCACACCCCTAGTCCTAGTTTTATTCTAAAAATGATAAATTAGTTGTATCTCTAGTCCCCCTTTATTCTATTCTTTAAAGGAAAAAACCATTTACCTTATGTAGTTTAGCCTCTATACTTCTTACTCAAGAAAAGATTAATAAGTTCTTTAAATACACAATTAAATCCTTATCTCTGCAATTCCTGACTTTCTGTTGCACTTTTTCAATGGATGTCACATTTGGTACGTTCTTAATCTCTTTATTTACTTATTCTTGATTTAATTAGTAGGTTAATTATTTATATGGTCCTTGAATTTATCGGTTAGGGTTATGATTTTGAGAATAGTTTATATTATATTGTTTTTCTTTTATATTGATTATTATATATTTTATATAAGCAAAAAAAAAAAAATAAACATATGATTTTATGGTACCATTTTCAACTAGTCCACTCAACAAAAAAATCCTAGCTCCATCCTTGGATGGTAGGTATTGGTCTCCTTGCCTTTTTTTTGTGTATTTTATATTGGCAAATAGGAACAATGGGGTTGTATGAAGAAAAGATAGATGGTCAACAGTACACCCGGTTTTAGTATAGAAATAATAAATAAATATAAATATACAATTTTGTTATATGTTATGATTTATTGTATAGAGAATTGAGAAAAAAAGTTAAAGACAATTCCGTGTTTTTGAGTTATAGCAATTAGTAAATATATAATGACATTGATTAGTTCACTTAAGAGTTTAATCCTTCGTTGGTTTATTTGTATTGTGAGAATGAAAGCAATGGATAAGGAATTTTTCCTTTTATTAGCAATTATATGAAGTAGGCATATTATGCAATACAAGTTCTACATTCATTTAGTAAATATTGAGTTTATTTTTATCGAATAGTGACATTTGATTCAGGTTTAAGCTTCTTAAATGTTTGTATTTTGAAAATTGATTTCAATGGTCTTTTATGAATTTTTTTTTTTGCTTACATAATTATGTGCTGCTTCAGGGACACCTAATGCAGTGGGCACAACTTATGAGACTCAGAAGGAATGACGACTGCTCCTTCCTCTTCTAGATGATCTCGTGCTTAATGATTGTGAGTTTGAAAATCTTTGGCAATGATTTCAAAACAAAGAAATTTTTTGTTGTTAGTATTCCATCGACAATTAATGAAGGTTGGTTGTAATTTTTTTTCCTCTGTTGGAGTGTTCTAATGCTATGTTTTCCATTGCACAACTGATGAATTGTTCTCTTATCTTTCAAACATAATCTTCCATACAATTTTCAATCCCGCAGCAGAGCGCGGGTTGAAGTTTCTAGTAAGCTCCATTTGTAAAGATGTATTCCGGACTATCCACTTCTCATCATTAAAAAATAAAATAAAAACATCTTTTTCTTATTTATAAATGATTGATGCTTTAATTTTTAATTTGTTCTAGTAAAAAATCACACAATCAATCTCATTTCAGCATTGCTATCATGTGAAGAAACTATAAGGTAAACTTATTAAAAGAACAACAAAAATACATATGTCAAGAGGGACCTTAAACAGCTACATGAACAACGAATCAAAACCACTTCTAACAAAACCTATAACAAAGAAGCTGATGAAAATTATGCTTCGATTTTCACTTGCCATAATGTTTTAAAACATATTAATTAATCTGATATATAGAACAAAGTGCCAAAATACACACACACACACACACACACATATATATATATACATACAATCATAACACAACAACATAAAGCTCAACTTTGTGCTAATTAGAATTTCTTTGTGTTGGGCATGCAATAATCTAGCTGCATTACTGAAAATATTAGAGAAGTTAAACCTTGAAAAATTATAGTGATAAGATTTATAACTTGTTCTTTGTGTTGTGTTTGGGGAGCCACATCTCTTAAACCACCATGTATGTATGTGGACAAGACAACAACAAATGCCCACAAATCAAACAAATGCAAGTAATGACTGTGAGAGAGAGATAGACTTGTTTCATAAAGATATATCATTACAGTAACATCCCGTGTCAATATGATGCAATAAAACATATTAATTTCTTTCTACTCGGAGAGAGTAGTCATAACTCATGAGCAATTACAATATAAATGTCCTCCCCTCTAGTTGAAACATTTGAACAATGTGACCTCATAAATCACTACCTAGCACATTGTGGTGTGTGCTTGAGCTACGTCTCTCAGACCACCAAGTGTGGACAAGAGAACGCGTGTCACAATGACTGAGTAAGCAAATTAACGAGAGACGGTTGCGAAAATATCCACCGTCCATTTTGTTTCCCATTCTTTTGGCCACTGCACTATAAAACCCTACACAAGGCTCGCGAACTTTGATAACATCGATCAAGAACAAGCATCTTCAACAAAGCACTAGTTTCGTTCTTGAATCTGAATTGCTTGCATTAGTGCTTAAGAGCTTCACAGTATACTGCAAATTATAATGGCAGCATCAGCTTCCATGCAATCGCTTCTAGCTAGCTCGGTAGTTTATGGAGCTGGAAAGAGCAGATCGGTGAGAGTCAGCCACCTTGTTCCTGCTAATAAGTACCGCCACATGGTTGTCCGCTCCATGGCCGAGGTAATACTACGTATTTGCATGTCTAGTTAGGTCATTTGAATAACATGATAATCATATTGAACAATATCGTAGTTAACCATGTAATTAATTTGATTAATCTTCTTTCATTTGCAGAATGGTCAGGAGGAGCAACCTTCTTCTACAATACCAGAGGCATCCAAAATCCCACCACCGCCTCCTACACCTACTCCTTTTCCTCCTCGTCCAAAGAAGGTCAGCACTAAGTTCTCAAGCGTGTTTGCATTCAGTGGGCCAGCCCCGGAGAGAATCAACGGCAGACTTGCAATGGTGGGGTTTGTTTCAGCTTTGGCAGTGGAGCTATCCAAGGGCCAGGATGTGTTTTCTCAGATCTCCGACGGCGGAGTTTCGTTGTTCCTTGGAACTAGTATTTTGCTCTCAGTCGCATCCGTGATTCCTCTTTTCAAAGGAGTCAGCGTGGAGTCCAAATCAAATGGGATCATGACGTCAGATGCCGAGCTCTGGAACGGAAGGTTGGCCATGTTAGGTTTGGTTGCTTTGGCCTTCACTGAGTATGTGAAGGGAGGGACTCTTGTTTGATTAGGTCTTGTAAAAGTATCTCCAGTGTAATTGGAAAGAAGCTTAGGAGTTGTTTGGTATTCGATTTGAAAATTATCTCTAGTTTTTAAAACAATGAATGTAACTAGGACTCATTAGTTTTTAAAAACGAAGAAATTGAATCCAAGAAAGATACTAAACGGGCCGTTAATTCCGGAAAATTATTGTCATTTCATTGAAACTAAACGACTACAACAAACATTGAAACTAAGAACAAATAACAGCATGATTCAAATTCATAGTTTCTGTCCCAAATGGCAGCCGTTGGTGCTACTCTCTCAATTATTTCTCCAAACTTGCCCGACGCAGAAGGAAGCTTCTTACGATCATCCTTGGCCATTGCGGAAATGGCTTGCCCTTCTTGTCCGACACGATCACCACCTGCAACCGAACCACCATGTTTCAAGCGTTTGTTAGCATGGGCCACCAACAATGCCGTCCCTGCAGCAACCGCTGCCACATTTATTTGTTCATCGCATTCATCGTCCGAATCATCTAGTAGCATCTGCATAACCATGCTCCTGCTCTTGCTCATTGTAATATTGAAAGATGAAATTGTAGCAAGTATGAAGCTTACGATGAGATAGAAAAATAGTGCATGTCAGATTGGCCCTCGACTTTATATAGACAGAATAATTGAACTGCAAATAGCAACGGTCAGATTAACGGTAACATGTTCTCGGTACAAATATGACAAAAAGAGACAACTTATCGAAACAAAATATTGTGGAGATATGGAAGATGGAAAATGAGCATCTTCTCCTTATTCACCATCATTACAATGGAGATTTGGATTTTGGAATACATTTTCGTGAAAGGCCTCGCGTAGCGTTGCAAACATATAAACAGAAAAGAATGACAAGAATACAACTTTGCTACTATTCACGTATTTACACATCCACTGACAAACCTCAATGTCTCGTCTTGCGGCATCTTTAAGTGTTGCATTTACGGATCAAGAAAGACCGCTTGCTTGGTCGACTCCCCATTTACGTGATCATTGGACTCCAGTTCATAATCACTCTGTTTCTGCACAACACCAAATAATTGTTACTAGAACAATAATCAAACATGCTGACGGAGAGAATATTAAGAGACTAAATCAACTAAAAAAAAAAAAAAATCAACTAAAGACGGGACTATGCAATTCAAATTTCATGCATAAAAAGTACAAGCATATATGCCTTTGCCAGCATATGAAGATATGTACATACTTCGGAAGGAGGATCAACTGGAAACAAATTTATGGATCGAGGATTGAAACCGAGTGTGCTGAAAACACATGAAAGAAAACAGATGTCAGTTATAAAGATGACCCAAAGATAGCACCTAATCGCAACTGCACTCAACCAGCAAGGGATGCAAAATGGATAATAAGATTCATAATTGAATCGATGAACATCCAACATGTTCGATATTAACACGGGAAGTTCTGCACTGTGCAAAATTGACTAATATATAACCTATTTCAAATAAGGACAGAAGCGGGGAAAATGAGCACATTGTTGCTTTTTAATTTTTTTTTTCCCCTCTATAAGGAGAGAAGACAGTTTACCATCGGGATAGAACTAGCTGCCACAAGTACGGAATAAAGAACTCCTCTGGATGACTCTCTTGTTCATATGTGAACCGCAACTGAGTAAACATCTGAGAAAACAAGATTTTCATGACATTATAAACAATCTCCAGGTAGCAACTGCGCTCTCAGGCCAAATGAAAATTCATTTTTTTCATTTCTTTTCTTTTTTTACCTTCATCCCTTCACCCCGCCATGATCTGCAATTCATTATTATGACTTGGAGTACTTTCTCTACTGACCATTCACCATCCGTTCTCTGGGCATCCATGCGACTATTGAAAAAATCTAATACCTACAAAGCCAAACAAACAATACAATTCAAATACACTAAGAAAAAATGGTCCAAGTATTCGCCGAAACTTGCCCATTTATATAAAAACAGGATATGCTACAAGTTCTGTAACATACAGTGTAGATGTTTTCAAGCAGCTCGCTGAAGCGTGGATGATTCCTGAAAGGCTGAAAAACCTCCTGCCTGTGCATTATTGCATATACAACCTGTCCATTGCATACAGTGAGGTATACGGAAAACATAAAACTTTACAATGTGACAGCATTAATAATTCTGTGAACAATATAACACTACACACACAGACCCCTGCTAGTGTACATGATAGTACCTCAGGATTTCGTGGCAGGGCATAAGTCAAAATTGCATTTAATATTTCAAGGACTAGTCTCAAGAAGTCAGTATATATATGCATCTCCGTTGACTGCAATTGGAAAAATTCTAGCTGAGTCGACAAAAGAATGTGAAAGGGTGACAATGATAAGTTAAGGAATGCTGTCATTACTGTATCATCTGCAAGACCATTTCCTTCAAATGGGTTGCCTTTGGCAAATCGCATCTGCTTATCTCGCATTTCTGCTAATTTGTTATACCTAAATCAAATGTTACACAGAGAAATATTTTTAAATATGTTAACAAAAACTCATGCCAGAAGTGTATGAAAGAATAACATTGTAAACTAAAATATAAAGCTCATGGAAAACACCATAGACATAAAAGGGCATACTTTCGAGAGAGCATATCAAAAAGGCTGACCAATCTCTGGGATGCATATGCACTCAAACGGTGGACGTGAGGTGCCATGTTCACCAAAGTTGCCAGACAAGTTGTATGGAGATAAACATCCTATAACAATTTAACAAACCAGACATGATAATTAGGTAAGTTGCAAATCTTCAAAGAAATGCTGCACATGAACATACCACCCAAAAACTATTGTCATGACTTTGTTAAAGTATTTAAAAGCTTAATCTCGAGGTTTTACATCCAATTGACATAAATATCAAGTCATATAAGCAATCTGACAGTAACACTCGCAAGAAAATTAATGAAAGTTCGGATTGAAAATGAAAAGATGGATACCCGCAACTTAGATAGGTTATACTGCACTGTCCGTATCAGAGTAATGACCATTAAGGAACCAAGAGATGTCTGATGGAGGAGACGTTCTTTATACCATGGCACACTAGGAACAATCTGTTGACGTGATAAATACATTAATAGGAGCCTTACGTATAAAAAATTTGTGCTGGCTACCACAGGCGATCCTTACCAATTTGTGAATGCTGGCATTAAAAGAAGAATCCTGACTAAGTATGAGAAGAATAATCAGCAACATGTAAATTTGATTAGGTGTCCTCTTTGGAGCATTGTATAAAGCTTCCAGAATAGGCATCAACTGTTTATTTCATAAAACATATTAGCATCAAGTTTTCATATCAATGTAGAAGCAAACAGAAATGACTAGTCCAAAATAACATGAAACACAAAATTGGTATATCACTACCTATGAAATACATCCAAAACACTCGAGCACATAATAAGGCAGAAATACAATATGCATCTTATTAACATTTTTTCATGACAGGATAAGCTCTGTTCCATACCAGTGTATCTAAATCAGTCCGCACCAAGACATACTCCAGAAAGGCGGCATTCCCTTGCAACAAAGAGTAAAGTAAAAGAGCAGCAGCCTCATCAGCCAAGTACCTGCAGAAAACACAACAAAACTGTTTGGTGATACTCAAAAAACAAAAACGGGAAACAAACTTGGAGCAAGGTTGAAATAAGGAACAGAGATTATATCTGTTTGAATTACGAATTAGAGATTTCTATTTTTGCTCTTGAATTGCAACTTGGAGGTTGAACAAGGATAACATATTGTACCCATGTAAATCAAGATGAAACCACAAAGGCATTTGAATCTAGGCAACAACCTATTGATAAATAGGTAATTCACCGATTATGTAGGAATCAAAGACATAAAAGTTATGTGCAACCAAAAGAAAACGAAAAGAGCTAAGCACATGAACACCAAATTACAAAACAATATTCATTTTACCTCGGTTGGAGTAAATGGTACGAGTCACCGTTATATGTCTACGTGGCATTTTTGACATCTCCTTTGGAGATGGTCTAACAAAACATTTTTCCTCTCCGACACCACTAAGATCTTATTAAACCCTAATTTGGTGTCAACAATCTTATTGTCTACATGCAGACAAAGAGTTAGCCTATACTTGATAAATAGTAAATCTAATCTAAAAATAAAAGAATAAAAAGGAAAGAGAGCCACTCACATCCCAAAAGCATCAAACAGAGAGGCAAAAGGTAACCTCAAAACTGGACCAATATGTGCATTACCCTCAGTATCTGCTCGATCAACTGCAAGCAAGGAACACATCTACTCAAGTTATGTGAATATACCTTCAAAATAAGATTACGTAAAGAGACAGACAAGAAAGTATCTCACATTCAACATCTGTTGCATGTTCCAACACCTTGCAGTAAGGGTTGTCAGAAAAATGTGTACTCCCTTTCAAAAGGGAGTCTGAAGCAGTTGTATCATTACTTTTATCTGTAATTGGTTCATTGCCCACAACACATTTACGATAATGAATGAGAATAAGTAGCACGTGGAGACTGCTGTCTGCCAACAGACTTCTTGAGCCTTCACCACTTGAACTGACAAGAATTTTGAATGGCAATAACATGAAATTTGCTGCACATCAAAAATTTATGTCAACAACTCCCAGAGAAATTGAAGCTTCAATACTGCCCAGGTAAACAATCTTTCTATAAGCAAACAATAAGTTTTAAAAATGCATCAAGGATACTGCCATACCAGCTGCAGAACCAACTCTTTGTAAAACACCAGGCTGACTTCCTTCAGAATATACAGAATAAGATGAAGTATTTAGGGATATGGAAGGTCCCGTAATGTAACTGAGGAGCAGTCTACGGACAACCAAGAGAACCAAAGAACTTTCCTGAGCATTGCAGAAGTGGTGTAAGATAATTGAAACAACGGAATATTTGGATGAAACACAACCCAAGAGTTTCATCAAGTAACCTGAGACATTGCTGCATCGATAAATGGGTTCACATCTTCCGGTCCTGGAGACGGCCCAGAAAGAAGCTGGGTTGACATCGCAACCAGCATGAAGTTAAGCAGCTCCAAATGAAGGAGGTACGTATCAGGACTTGTGACAAAGATGATACATAATTAGAAAAAACACAA